TACACCTGCATCAGCGAAGCCTCGGAAGTAGCAGTGGGGTCTCCAGATGCTAAAAGAGTAAGTCGTACCGGTTCTTTTTGTCGACAAGATGAAGTTAAATGAATGACTGCGCTTGGAGCCTGTGTGCGCGTTTCAAAGATGCAGAATAAATCGATGGCGCGAGATTCTACAATCCTAACTGAAGAAACCTGTTCTCCAATTTGACACAAGGTTCGAACATCAAAAGCTCCAATATATAGTTTGGAGCGTGGTTTCAGGAAACCAGGAATAAAATTTCGTAAACTCAAATCATTAGCATAGGTGGCGCGTGATGACAAAGATAAATAAGGGTTAGTTGTGGGGATGGAAGAAATATTAAGAGGTGAGGGAGGGATTCGATCGCCAACAGAATGATCTCGAGTGCTGAGGGGCGGTTGTTACTTCCTGGTTGCTCACACCATGGAAGGATATTTCTTCTTAAGAGACCAGAATTAGTGATTGCCCTAGGAAACTGGGAGAGTAACCACAGATAAGAAGGAACAACTGCTTGAGGTCGGCCGCGCACGATCTTTTTTGGGAGGTTTTTGATGCGCCAGCTCCGCAATTCAAAAGGCATTATCTCCGAAGACGGAAATCTGTGGAATGACATGTGGCATTTCTAGGGTCGACCTTTTCTGACATCTTTCTTCGTTGTGATAAGGCAGCATCGCTGTAGATGCTGCAGTCACATCTCCATACGGTTAGCAGTACGACTTCACGCTCAGACCTCAAGTTGCTGCTTTTAGACTTAACGTTCTTCAATCTACTTACGTAAAATGATAGAACCTAAAGCAACATGTGTTTCAGCTAATATAGGTCGGTTGATTCATCAGAATGGGCAAACCAGACCACCATGTCAAGTTAGCAGCTACAGTCACGATAATCTTCAGTAAAACTTGAAGAAATCCACTATGATGAAAAACTCGGTTATTCCTATTTAACAATAAGGTAACCATCTACTTCACTTAGTTTCGAACAAGAATGTTTTCTTAAATCAAACACAGTATATTTTGATTAAACTATTTCTATATGCAGACATTTTACATACTCAAGATAACATTTGCTTCTTCTAAAACACTTTGAATAATCATTCAACAACGTCAAAAATCATCATAACACTCTAGAGAATACTTTTTAAGAGCTACAGAATCTCAATCAAATAACTCACGTTCTCACTCATCCTTCCTTAATGAATTTGAGTTCGGAAAGCTTTTTATTTGGATTTTAAGATATGGAATTTTAACTATGAAAAACATGGCGAACTCTCTATGTTAGCTTTAAATGTTAGGCAGTCGGGAGAAAGTTATTGGGAATCACTGGTTTTAGTTTGAGGCCTTCTATTAGCTAGTTTAAATTAAATCTTTAATTTTGGATATATTAACAAGGGCTCAGAGATATGAATCCTAATCGCCCACCCATTTATTGAAAACCATAGTTACCAAAACATTTAGGTACAGATTGATATACCTAAAAGTTACTGAGTTGCAACCAGTGAGCCAATGTAGTTCTGTTGGACAAAATTAAAATGGCACTATTGAGCCATAGGAAACAACAAATACGCATGAAGGGAGTGATTTTTAATCCCTGACCATGCCACACTAAATAAAGTACCCAGGATATAGATTAACTTAGTTACCAACATGTAAATGCAAAAACGATTTGTTTGTAACCGATGGCTAGATAAAAAAAATTAAGTATTACTGGAAGACTAAGCAGTTTAAAGGTAGTTTATCTTAGGAACTAAAAGTAAACTATCATCCTTTTATAAGATCATATTTGCCTTAAAATCTGTAATTCATTTTTACTAACAAGATTTGCAATTTAGATCAATCCATGTGATCACGGAATTTACCGACTTAGGAATTTGCTGGAACGTTAGTGTATGACAACAAGTGACTGTTTAAGTACGCAAATGCTGGATTATCTTGATTTAAAGGGAATGTTTATCAGTTGCTCTGCATAAACCTAAGGGAGACTCCCAATTTACCAGATTTGCAAAACTGGTAGGTTGTCATAAAAATTATTTAGTTCAATCTCCTTTCCCCGTGGTAAAATTAATATAAATCTTTTATTATGTACCACATTCTACGTCAAAAATACAGGATTTATAAAGTACGAATAACCATGTTACATAATTGTCTGTTCATATGTTAAAACTGAGGTCATTTAGCTATTCGATGATTTATGTGAGAGCTATTAGATAAATAGATATAATGGAACAGGAATAACTTTTATGTTCAATTTGCATTATTTTTTGTAGATTTACCCATCACCTTAACAGTTTTATAATTAACAGTTTGTCTCCCATTTCTAGTTGGTATTCAAATTAAGGTACGAGAAATATCAATTTTTAGGGAATGCATCTAGTTGGCGACTTTTATTTTATTGAGAAAAATGTTACCACATCTGTTGTTAACACCTCATTCAAATATTCATATATTTTAATATTCATTTGTCCTTAAACAAAAAGATGTTTTGTCAGTTAGAGAAGAACTAGTAAATGGACTGGGAACTTATGAAAAGCATTAAACTTATGAAGCTCTTAAGTTCTTTTTAAATTATAAAATAATATAAAACTTATTAGATAAGAATACGAAAATAAAAAGGTAAGAAGAAAGCTCACTGATCGTATCGAATAACCAAGTTGAGGTCACAAAGTTTTAGTTGGTGTTTGATTATTTTGGTTCTCTTTAGTTTGGAACATCAAAATGTATATCTAGGTTATTGATCTGTTCGATTATTTTACTCCCTTAATACTTGTAGCTTACTATTTTTTTTCATTTGAATGGTAGATAGTAAATAACTATTTTTAAATTAATATGTTTGATGACAAAGTTTTCTATCAACCTCTGTTTATTGGTCAAATGGCAATGGTTTAAAAATGAATTCCTTAAAAAAAATGAAGCTCTTCAGGATAAAATACGTCGTCGTTATTGATTTATTGTCTAGAAAATTAAGAATATAACACTTGCTAGGAAGTCAATGAAGTCATTGTGTGATTAAGAAGGTAAAACTGCGAATGTTATTGTTACATACTGTAGTTCCAGACCACTATCTCCTTATGAAGAATTAGATTTCATATTTGATCAATATCCATCTAGCTATCCTCCTGAAGCCTGGTATGTAAGTCATTCAATAAAGTATACCTCTACCTTACAGAAAAGCATTCATCTGTATTAATTACGAAAAGACAATATACTATTCTTATTATTTATTCTCCAGTACTTATCAGATTACCGCTTTTCCTTTTATAGCACCCATAAAACTAAGTCAACTATTTCCTAAAACTTACGTTTGAATTAAATGTGGATTGTACAATTCCCAGCCAATGGTAGTCACAGGCCAAATTCATGCGCAGAGATACTATATGAAACAGCTTTTCCTTAACATATCTCTAGCGTTACCAAACCTTTTACTATAAGATAATATGTATACAAAAGTCATCATTTATTCCTCGGAAATCCCTTGATTATCATTACTATCAAATTAATTTTATTCTAACATTAAAAATAACTGCAGAGTCAGTCACTGTCTAAACCCTAACAATTAAATATTTCTTACTTTTCATAAACCTCTCCCTGAGTATTTATCCAACAAAACTATATCTTTTCATCATAAATTACTGTGATAATGTTCACACAAATATTGATAATTTGGTTTTCAAATATAAATTTATAAATTTTTGAGGAAAAGTCATTGATAATCATTCCTCCACGAAATTAATTACTTTAAGACTGAATGGGTGCATCCAACCAGTAAATGTATATTGCCGACTTTTGACTTTAACTGTTATCTGCAAACACCAAAAATCCACTACAAGAAAAGAAGTCTTACGAGCAAACAAAATGAGCAACGATTCAACACTAACTCGTAGCATGTTAAACAGTAATATCAGCTCACAGTGAAAAGTTTTGTGTTTTGGAATTCAAACAGAATGATAAAAATTCGCATCTAGTAAAAACTCCAGGGACCATTTGTTACCACTGTTGGAAAGTTTATAAATCCTTCTTAATCAGAATCTGTCGGCATATTACCCTTTCAATAAACAAATTGATATTGTCTGTAATTAGTTCTAGAGTGCAAAATGATATTGTCCAAACAACCCTAACATCTTGAGCATTTAAACCATTTGATCCAGTAAGCGAGTAACAGGGAGTACTAAGACCACCAGTACTGTTTGTTTAAAAGGCATTTGCGGTGTTTATGAAGCAAAAGATAGGACTCTACGTTAACACAGAATCACCTAAATTGAATCCCGAAACACTCGAAAAATCCCAAAACGGAGAAAAAGAATCTTCTAAATTCTCCAAATTAAGAATGTTTATTCAAATTTGAATTTCATCAGGCTGAAGACAGAACAGAACTGAGTATATAAAAAAAGTGTATTTGAAGGAAATGATAGCGATTCCTCTCAGAAGATTGATTAGTTAACAAGAATTTCAGGACGATATATATTGGGAATAAGCATTATAAAGAAAATCTTGATTCAGATAACTGGTGAAACTAATAAACCGCAAGGGATCTTGCTTTCAGCATACTTAACCTTACTAAATTACACATTTTCACAAAGCCATAGTATTCGCTTCAAGAATCGGGCTGCCTGTTTCAGAGTAACATAGTTACTGGCAAATCATTAAATGCGAAATAAACAGTATCGGTTACCCAACTTAATATGCGGTTTTAAATGTATTACCAGTATACCTAATTTACCGGTTATCTAATTTCAGAATTACTTGTATGATTAAGAAAACTAAAATCCTTGAGAAATTTTTCTAGAAAGTTGAGAACACTATAAAATTATTGTTGTATTTCTTTCGTAACTTCATTTCGTTTTTTGACTATGAGTAATTTACATGAATTTATCACTGGGTTAATTCTTTAATTATTTACTATTAGTGTTTACATAGTCTCTAGTATCGTGCATCTAAAGTATGAATCAGTCAGACGCGTAAATCAATTAGAATAAATAAGTTTCAATTTGTTTCTTTTATTTCCTAATTATTTAAAAGACTACACAATGCAAATATGACAGAATAGTAGTATTACATCATAGTTTTACTGGCATAGATTCATCAGACCATTTATTAGATGAATATGAATTATCCAACGTTACATTGAATGTAGTTTTCAGTACTGAGTCAGCAACGGTGGCTGATAACTGGAAAAACGAAAAAAAACAGTCATACATTGAATGGAATGTTTCTATATCAAATTACAATTTAAATATTAAATGAATTGGAGTCACACTGTATTATTACTATCTAAAAGGTGAATATGAATTTATAGTGCCTTATACAGAAAACCTTAATCACTTAATAATACTTAATTAAAAAATAAACAATACGTATTTCCATTTACTGTAACAACAAAATATCTAGCTATACCTTAAAGTTTGCACTACTTACTTTCAAAAGCTTTTCCAGTTATATCAATCAAGAAAATCTTTGAGCCTGAGAAAACTGATGGGCTAAAGAAAAATTTGTCACCATTACTAACATCAAATGCAAAAGTCATTGTGGACAGAAAATTATTCGGGCAGTGCCTTTGAACTGATAAAAATAATAGAAGGGAATGCCGCATTTGACCATTACATATTTATGCAGTCGACGAGTACTTTTCATACCATAAGAGAAAACAAACTCTCTGATCAGGTTTCCTTTTTTATTTGACATGACATTTAATCCTCATAAAAATTCCATTAGTTCATATTCTAAAATATCCAGCTTTTTATTAGTATGAAAAAGAATTTTAAACACTGAGTTGGTACTAACATATATATATATATATATATATATATATATATATATATATATATATATATATGATACAACAGATAATACAAATGAATGTTCGCTTTGAGTTACATTCACATTTATGCCCAATGACAAACTATATTGTTGTCGAACAGAAATTGTTTGAGTATAATAATGACCATACCAGTAGTAGAATATTACTAGGTTTAAGTAATAATTAACTATGGAAGATAACAGACGGAAACCATTTCAAAAATCAATATTTATAAAACATTTACAAAGTAAAACTGTTACAAAACATTATGAAAATGATTACATAAAAGAGGAAATTGAGCGATATTTGTGAAAAATTAATAAAAATCTCGATATTAATGAAGCTTGTTATATGTTTATAATAGTTAGTCATTTCATGAACAACGTTAAGTACCAAGATTTCAAATCATTCTTACATATATGTGCGAACAGGATTTTAAATTCCGGAAATCGATTGAAGCAAAATGACAGTAAAAGTTACTTGTGCTTAGTTACTAAGTCGAGCAAATTTAAAAACTGGTGAAACAATTTATAGGGCTTGGAAAATAGAAATAACAAAGTAAGAATTACACTTGATTGTAGTAAGTAGTATCAAATTTTCTTCCACTTCCATGTGATTATTTTTACTGATAGTGAGAGATTTTACCTAAACTTATGACAAATAAATTTAGTAATTTGAAAACCTGTAGCTTCTCAAACAAAAATTTGATGTGCCAAGTTATGTACCTTGTATTCCCAATAATCTTGGAACACTTAAAGTCTCTCTAAATCACTGGCACCAGCTAAAAAAATTGTGTTTGTTCAATGAGTCATTTCACTAAGAAAAAACGTAAAATTTGTGAATCATCTTTCAAGACGATTTGATTGCATTATAAAGATGTACAGAAATTATAAAATAAATAATACCCATAAGATACCTCAACTGTAGTCTCTAAAGTACATTAGAAAAGCAATTTTAGTAATCACTAGGGATGAAAGGTTCCACTATTTTTAAAATTGAATTAAAGTCAGAGCTTATTAATTTTACTCTGTTGTTGTCTAGCCACAAACAGTCGACTTAGTTATTCCCTCAATTATAAGCTAAAAATACTTCGGCAAGTATATTTGGTCTGTTGACATTTTTTAAAAGTTAGAATGATACAAAAATCCCATACTACCACAATCATGATCATGTTCCATTCACTAAAAAAATGGATATACTAGATGAAAAATTATGTATCACACCTTTCAGTCTTACTAGTTTTAAACACATTCACGTTTTATGTTAGAAATTTTAAACACATTACCTTTTGTTAAAAATGAAGAGCTTCGATTTGATAGTCTTGATTTTCACTACTTGCTTAAGTTATTCTTGCAACGCAATGCTGTTATTTTTAATGATGAAATGCACAAAGTTATCAACAAGTATGTATACCTTCGCATTTATTTTAATGAGTACAGTGATCCAATATACTGGTATACATATTTAATCTAATGGGGCTTGTTATATCGAATCACATGGGTTTACTGGAATTATATGCTCACAATTATTTGCATCCTCTGTGTTTAGTCCAGAAAAACCACAGAATCTAAATGTTTATATTTTCCCGATAAACAATAGTAATTGCTCTACGTCTTAATTTAGTGGACAAATAATATTTTGTTGAATTGAAATCTAAGGGCCATTAAATAATTATAAATTATTATAATATTTGTCTAATATGGCTATATTTCTACCAAATATTCTTGACAGATTAAACATATCCAACTCTAAAATATATAATGTAGTAAAGTTGAACAATTTTAGTTATTTCAGGACTAGTACTTATCCGATATAGTGGATAAAGACGATGTCTAATTAAACTTTGTTTTTATACATAAAAACAAAGAGAGCATTGAATATTAAAACACTGCTATTCTAAAACAGCAAGCCAACTACAGAAAAATTGCGTTGAAGACATCTGAATAGATCTGAGCCATATTTACATAATATTTAATATATTTTGTATGTTGTATCAATATCGCCCCTTTAGAATAAACTTAAACTTTGAAAAATGTATATTTCAGTGAATCATGAAAGTATAGTTCCAATAAATTTTCATACATGGGTGGTCTATTAGACCATATGATTAATTTCATACTGCTTTGAATAAAATGATTTCAATTGCATTTTCGATTGGAAAATGGAATTTATAGATTGATTTTATTTAACTCATTTTATGCAACAAGTATTTTTATGGATATTATTAAATTTTATCAAGTCTGGAAGAAGAACTAGTGAACTGACCAAAACATTGGTTAAACATCGGAATATCATGTAAGCGAGTAAATCATTATTAAAAGTGAAAAATTCATTTTCATCATAGCAGTTGACCTAAGTAAAAATATTTTATCTATTTAAAGTGCTCAGATTAACAGTTAAACAATATACACTGAACGCACTAAGTAATTACACTTAACTTTCTTTCACTGTGCTTTATATTAAGGCGGGATCATATACTAAGGCTGACATGTGTCAATTATGCATGTTCAAACATTTTCCATTGAATGTAACATTTTTAAATATCAAAGTGGAAATTGGACAAAAGACAACTGTGCATCATTAAAGAAATTTCGATCAAATAAAAAACCTAAATTTTTAATAGGACCGTAATATAGTGTAAAAATAATTCATATAAAATTGGCTTTTTATGTGCTGGAGATGGATTTATATTCCGTAAAAAGAAATTAACGAAATAATAATTGATAAAACTTTATCTTATAGGAAATTCATCTGGTAGATTATAAATAACTAATATACACGAAAGTGATAAAAGATCGGCTCTTACTATTAATAAACTTATTTATAAACTAAGAATGAACTCATGTCTTACAAACTGAATAATAAGCATGCCAATTAAAACAAAGCAGGGATGGGAAAGGTTCCAAAAAGAGAAATTGAATTAATACAACGTTAATTTGTTACCTTCGGGACTTTCTATTGATTAAGTATATGATACTAATACAGCTAATCAATAAACGTATTCAAAAAAAATTAATGGTGAGACTGAATGAGCTACAAGATATTTTGTGAAATAATAATCCAGAATTATATTTGTGCAAATACATTTTTTATGCTTGCGAGTGAATATCAGAATTTACTGTTAAAATTGGTTGTTTACGATGAATCCTAATTATTGTAATTACGGGCTTTTGAATATACTTTTATGAAGAACGAACTAAAAAACCACTGATTACATGTAGCGCTATTGGATAAAGATTTGTTTGCGAGAATAAATGCTCTCTTAGATAAACGTAAGTATTTGCAGAAAATATGGTTTCTTGGGTTTCATAAGTTTAAGTAACATGTGTTCATAACGACTATATTGGGGAATATTACTTAAGAGACTGGAGTCTGAAATTTGGTAGTTCTAATATTGGTTACAAAATATTTGCTTTCTAGCCGTCTTATCATGATAAAACGACACTGAGTTTCCCTTTAAATTCATTTTAGAATACGACTGTCTATATTGATCCAGTGTTAAATTATTCCATCTCGTATTACCTGTTGAACGAACATGAGTAATCGAAAATTCACAAAACATTACATTAAAAATTTACATCCATTTATTAGTTAAAAATTTCATTTCTTTTTAAACTCTTATCTAACTAAATATCGAGATGTCAGTTTTCAGCTATAGGTTCAAGAAAAATTTTAAGGGTCTACTAATTATTCCATTATTATAGGTGATTCTTGGTAATCCATTGTTTAGCAGATGTATGATTAATAATATCCAGACAAAAACAGAAATAATGACAGCGTATGAACTTCCATTTACATGCTGGCATATTACTTAAACTCTATTATGATTAAAATGCTTGTCTTCGTAGTTTTTTACCTCCTGATTTTTCCACCAGTGAGTAGCCAATATTTCTATCCATCACTTCTCCATAGAGTTAGCAAGTCGTTTAGAATCAATGTAGGGATTTGTCAAAATATACCCAAGTAATGAGAATCAATATTAGTCAGAGGAATAAAACTGATAGTCACCGACAGAAGACTGCATTGATAATTATTTCTGTGTTACATATTATTTTATCCTTACTTCTCATTCAATTGTTATTGTCATTCATTATTGTTCATATAATTACTTTTCTTTAACAATAATAAGTGGAGAATGATTCAATCACGAAAAATAATGAATAAAATTCGATACATTTATCTTTTAATTAAAATCCTTGCTTGTTCACTTTTTGACGAATTATATGAATATACGCTTGAGTGAACAGAATTCTGATTCTGTAGATAAAGCAGAAACGATGAATAAGAACATTAATCACTATTATTTAATAATAATAATAATAATAATCTGTAAATAACACACTAATGCTTCTTTTATTCATCCTCACAAAT